TTTTCGTTTGTTATTTGCTTTTAAACTATATATTTATTGCTCATAAAAAATGTAAACTTAGACGAAATATAAACATCACGATAGATTATTAATCACACTTGTAGAAAAAGTTCAAACAAATAAGATATTGTTTATCAGTTATCTTTCAAATATATACATACCGCATTCTTTTTTTTCAAAAGCAATGTATCTATACATTTGTTTCTTTTGATTATTCATTGAGAGGCAAAAGTGATTAGATGTATTTTTGAGAGATTGTAATTTGCTACTAATTTCAAAGAATTATTCACATAAATTGAATGACTTAGACGATTTACTTTCACGTGATTATTTGAAAGAAAAGAGAATTCGAGTTACAGTTTGGGCCTGGATCTTTTCTACATTCACAATCTACATCCTGATTGTATCAATAACTACTCATTTCTTTTTTTTCCGAATAATCAACAGAAGATGAATCTTCATATTATGCTTTTCAAAGAACAATATTCGTGAGTGGAATTTTTGAGTCGAGCCTTTGCGGCTCTTCCTCTTCATAAAAACGCGGAGAGGAACAGTGGAAGGAAGTCAAGACCAATGATTGCTAGAAACATTTTCTTAGTAACCGAGGACAACAGCCGTTAGTTTCCTGTCTCAAAGTCCGTTAATAATGGAAAAATGCGCTGAATGATATTATCAAACAGATTTAAACTGTTTTAGAGCATTTTAAAGTTTTCGTCGAAATTTTAGTGACTAGATCGTGTTTGTAAATGTTCCAAATAGTGTAGTTTATCATTTTTGTGCATAGACTTCTTATTATATGCAGAGGGGTAAGTCACCACCAAAGACAGGGGGGAAGAGGGTGTAAAAAAACTTTTGCCTGAGACTGTGTGTTTAAAAAAAATGGATTTCTAGTTATTTGCTATGTTTTTTTTTGCGTAGACAACATAGTTCAGAAATACATGTAAAAAATTTGAATTGAGAATCAGATTAAAAGTCAATTTTTAATGGCATTACTATAACCTGATTTTAATTAGACTTTTCACCTTTAAATGACAAACTTTATTTGGTTTCGACTTTTTTTTTATCTATTTTAATCTATTACCAACAACGACTGTAATAATAGCTTTAAAAAAAATCAAAATCAAATAAAATTTGTCATTTAAAGCTGAAAAATCTGATTAAAATTAGATTATAATAGTGTCAATATAGTCGATTTTTAACCTGATTCTTAATCCAATTTTTTTACCTGCGAATCACTACAGCAGAAAAGAAGCATGGATTAAAAAGAAGAGAGACGCACACAAAGATATAATGATAGAAAAGTGGATGGGCACAAAAGGGACACACGGTTGTTCCAAGGTAATCCAGATTAAGAGACCCATCTACATCTTTTTCAGCACTGTAATCTTCTTGTGCTCATTGTATTACAAAAAATACTTTCTACGAAAAAACATCTTAGAATATGAAAAAAAATTGGTTGTTTTTTTTTTACCTTCCTTCATTTTAAGGAAGAAAACAGTCATCTTATGGAGTCAAAAAAGTTTCGAGGTATGTCTAATTCCAAAGGCGTTTACGTCAGCGACTGTTGATAGAAATAATACTTTATAGAACGCAGCATTAATAGAAACTTCCTAGAAATAGGCTTTAAGTCTTCAAAATATGGTTAGGATTATGCAATTGACACCATTTATGCAAGCGAAATTGCTTCGTCGGCAGGTCTAAATTCTATTTCAGTGTTGTTGCGTCCCAAAAACTAAATGGTCGCTGAATGAAATCGTTGATAATTGTTTAAAAGTTTTTGCCGCCAAAGGCGCCCGCGCGCGTGATCATTTAAAAAATAAAACTCCTTAGGCGTAAAAGTACCATAAAAATGTTTAAACGACATATCAGACTCCTTAAATTAGTTGTGATTGTAAAGTTCTCACGTTTTCGAGAAGCGAAATTTTTTTTTTCACTTGATATCTTGTTCGATAAAGACTTATTTAATTCAGCACTTTTAGCCCAAGAGTTAGTAAACTTCTACTTTATGTCTGTTTTCACCCTTTTTACTAGTGAAAATAACCAAAACTTTCAAGTATTGGAGAGGTGGGCGCACTACATAAGCAGTTTTTCAAATCAGAGGGACGTTCTCATAGAGAATTTCAAAAGCAAGGAGGCGTAACGCTCAGCACGCCCTCCCCCTATTTATGCCCCTGCCTATATGTATTAAGCTGTAATTAGAATACAGATTCTATGTAACGGATTAATTAAATTGTCGAATTTTATTTAGATCAATTATTCAAGTGTCTAATGTATCATTTGTAAGACGAGATCTTTGTCATATTAAATATGGTCTTCATCATCGACAAATTCGTTTCTGTCAACGAAATGAGCATATTATGCGTTTTATACGTTCCGGTACCAATTTAGCATTAGAACAATGTCAAGTACAATTTAAAAATCGTCATTGGAATTGTACATTGTTCAAAGACAATGATTTAATTGGAAATATTCTTGATTCGGGTTAATTATTTTTTTTCTTTTTTTTTAAATTACAATGAATATATTTTATTTTTTGATCTGATAGGAACAAAAGAATCAGCCTATATTCATGCATTAACATCAGCTGGTATTGCATATGCAATAACAAAAGCTTGTAGTAATGGACGACTCAATTCTTGTGGATGTGATATGACAATAAAAGATAAATATTTAAATGAATCAATTCAATGGACTGGTTGTTCAGATAATGTTTTATTTGCAACAGAAATTACAAGAAAATTTGTTAATCTTCGAGAATATGAAACAAAAACTCGAACGAGTTTATTAAATATACATAATAATCAAGTTGGAATTCGAGTAAAGTTGTCTTTTGAATTGTAACAAATGAAAAAAACCTTTTTTTTTTTTCTAGACAATTCTTTCATCAGTTGATCAGCAATGTAAATGTTATGGTGTATCTGGTTCTTGTGAATTGAAATCATGTTGGCGTTCACTTCGTTCATTTACATATATTGCTAATCAATTAAAAGAATTCTATGATAATTCAATAGAAGTATATTTAGAACGAAATTTAATCAATAAAAAATTACAATGGATACCTAAAAATATTCCATTTCAAAAAGAAAAACAATCAATATCAATAACATTCAAAAATCATATGATTTTTATAAAGTCAAGTCCGAATTACTGTGAAATAAATTTATCTATTGGATCATTTGGTACAATAGGACGTGTTTGTAATCGAAATTCACGTGCTATTGATGGATGTGACTTACTTTGTTGTAATCGAGGTTATCAATCTCAAATAGTGACTATACACAATCAATGTAATTGTCGTTTTCAGTGGTGTTGTTATGTGCAATGTCAAAGTTGTGTTATAACTCGAGAAATTAGCCGTTGCTTATAAGCGAGTTCTCGGTTCTTTTTTGTGTTTTTCGATTTTTCATTGAGTGTTAAAATAAATTTCGTCCTTTTCTTTTATACATACTCACGCTGTAAAATAACATATGGGCGTGCACAATGGTATAATATCCTAATTCTTATTTGTTTATATAGCTTTAGCCAGATATTAGAAAAATGTGATTTTTTTTACTAGTCTTATTATATGTATAATACTAATGATCTGTTATTGTTTGAGTTCCATGTCTCTCTAGGACCAAGAGTTATCAAGTGTTTCCTTATAATTATTTTGTTAAAGCACTTCACATCTTATTTGTTAACGTATATCCACTTTAATTTGACATCTTTTTGGGCAATACCAAATTTGTCAACGTATATAGAGAATAAGACAAAGTTCAGAGAAAAAAGAATAGTATCTCCCTTACATGTTACACAGACGATGATATGCATATGTGGAAGGTACGACGCATAATTCAGCAGGTATGGGTGTCTATGAGTCTAGTTATTGCTATTTATGAAGTTCAAATAGGTTGCTGATCACTAATTCCTTCCACTACAATATCCATGCAATTAGTAAACCATAGCAGAGTCGTAAATCTTATGATAGCTTTGAAGCTAACTTCGCATCTCTTTTAATTAACATCCTGGCAATATGTTTGGTCTGCTTCATCGGTCAATCAATAAGTTTTGTTGACTATTATACAACTCTGTGAAGAGTGATTTATTGAAAACATCTGATTATCTACCTTTATCGTCATTAATATTGAATGAATTTTTGAGTGAAGGAAAATAATAATATATGGATTTTCAAATATCACTGATGCATTGTGCTTTCGTTAAATGATAGAGACAAGACGAAACAATCAAGTTCAATGTAAACGTTTTATATAATCACACTGAAAATATTCTTTCCGTTAGTTTTGAAAGAAAAAGATTTATCTTTAAATTTACATCTTCTATTTAACTGAATAGAGTTGGATACATTTTAAAGTGAACTGAACTGAGAAAGTTTGCTAGAGTAGCTACTTTGGGGTTGAAGTGTAGAATCAACATATGTTGTTTAGCCTCATGATACCTAATACAAAATATGTTAAGTGACAAATCTCTCGTAGACTAAAGTTATTTTCTAAGGATAGTCGATCGTCAGAAAAATGATCCGTCTAAATTTATGATGCGTGACAAATCAATACATGAGTACCCATCATTTTGAACATCTTTGATATATATTTTTATATGCGCAAAAACCAAAAACTGTACCATTTAGAATATTCACAAACACATTCCAGCAATTCAAATTTTGAGGAAGACTTTGAAACGTTGTAGAAAAGTCTAAGGAACTCAGAGAAACGAGTCTGGCGTTTGTTGTCTTTGGTTTCTAAAATTTGTAATAAGGATGGAAAGTGGAAGAGAATGCCTCAAAACTTTGACTTAAAGCTTGCAATATGTTCTTCAGAAATATTATATGTGAATTTCGGAATAATTTATTCTGTTAGTTTCATGGATTATTGTTGGTTCAAGTGTTGAAAAAAGAAAAGAAATTATTTGCATAATTTTTAAAATTCTTAATTTGAATAATTTCTGTTAATTATTTTTATCAAATACAAGGAAAAGAAAAATGAGCAAAAGAAAAAAAGACTTTATTAAATTTTTTGATAAGTTGGATTTGATAATATATAACTTTTTGATGTTGGTTTTCGTAATGTTTTGATATATTTTCCTCTTGTGATACTTCGATAACCAGATTTTTTTCCTATATTCATTGAATATTGTTTGATTTTCTTAGATTGTCTTTTGATGTTGATTGCTGATAAATCACTCATTTCCATAGGAGCATCACTAAAACCAAGTAAAAGAACTGAATTTTCAAATAATTCTGATGCAACACGTGGAATTTTATTTGATCTATAACGTTTTTTTTGTTTTCTTGTTAAATAAGTATGAATATCACTTGCAATAACAAGACAACCAATAGAAATAATTAATAAAATCGCTACACTAGCAAATGATTTACTTGCAACTTGTATTAAAAGCATTTGTACTCTTCTTTCTTCACATTCATTCCCATAATATCCATCAAAACATGAACACCTATGCGAATTAATATCATCGAGGCATATTCCATGATTAGAACATTTTATATTTATACAATCATCAATATTATCTTCACAATGATCACCTTGAAAACCTTGTGGACATAAACATTTTTGTTTGGAGTTGATATTTAAATCAACAATCTCAACTAAATTTCCACCATTAACACAATAACCAAAGGGATATCTTAAATATTGACAATGTTCACCTGTTATGTATAAGGGACAAATGCATTGATAATGAACTTCTGTTGTTTTTTTAAGAGAAGAAAATTTATTATCATAATCTGGTAGAAGAGATTCACAAGTACCACCATTCAAACATGGATTTTCACTTTGACATATATCAAAAAAGAATCTTAACGGTTGATCAAGGTCACATGATTGTCTTAGCATATGTAATCGAGTAAAAACTGGTCCTATATGACTTGGTGTTCGATTACCATAACGAACAGTTCCTTCAATAAAATAATAAAAACAAAATTTTTATTATTTAACGCTAACACGACTACTCGAATTCTACACAGACTCTAGTCATTTTCATCACACGGTTATAAATATACAGTATTAGAAGAAACTGCTCATCTTCTAGATATGTTCTAGTGAACAATAGTAGACTATTCTGATAATACCTACCTATTACACACAGCTATTGTGTATATAAGTAGACTATACCGAAATCTATATGAACGTTTATTGACTACCTGAGGTTCGTCCAGACTTCAGTGAGATTCATTGTTATACTATGTATTTATAGCAAATAATGAGATCATGACTTTCAGATATGCGTTTGGGACATTTACGAAGGAAGATGTCTAAGCGATAAATCGTTTTTAAATTAGAATCCTGTGCAATCGATAGAGTCTAGAGAGTAGGTAAATATACTAGAGTAGTTCGAGCTGTTAGATCTTTGTTGTTGGGATACCGAAGTTTTGAGTAGATTTGTCTTGTAGGGTTCTGGTTTTCAAGCGAAACTATACTTTTGAATTTTGAACTAAGACTTTAATCATATAAACGACGCGATCAGACTAGCTTGCAGAGATAATTTCACAATCATTTAATAAAGTCTCTATATTTCGAAGTGTTATTCGATATCTTAAAACCAAAGATTCAACAGCTCGAACCACTCTAAGATATTTACCTACTAGTTAAGTTCTATCGATGAAATATAGTCCGAATTCAAAACTGACTTATCATTTAGACACCTTCCCTCCCTAGGCCAGTGCATTGATAGCACTAGTCAATCATATACAATTGTCTTTCTTATGTACATCAATTCAAAGTATATGTGTCTACCGAATAGTGATCCATGATTTCAAACGTCTCAATAATAAAGAATGATAAGATGATGAAAAAAAGACTAGATATATATTGTTCAAACTAATTGCTTTTCTGTTTGTTCTTCTTATAATCAAGTCTTCCTTCGCATCTTCATGATAGACTAGTAAAAAATTTGCGTGTTATATTTATTTTATCATTCGGGATCATTAAGATAAACTCTGCTTTGATCGAAAGTGAAAACGTCACAAAATACTTTTAAAAAAATAAAAAGTAAAACTTTGAAAGATGTTGGATAAAGATGTCAATATCACATGATCAATATCGACTTATGGAATGTAAGTATGTATCTGAAGAGAAGACACATTTACATACACGATAATTTCAAATTATCATAATAGAATAAATTATAGTATTTATCAAAATCACATCAATATATGAGATTTGATTAATTTTAGAAAAAAAAACGTGTAGAGAATTTTCATATTTTAAGAATGTTTTAATGCATCGAAGCAGAAAGACGAACGAAAAATATTATTACAAAGTCGAATAAGCACGTTGTCTAATCGATATAATAACTATTACTTTACAGTATCTAATCTCCTTAACGATCTATCTTTTATAAAATTATGATTGTACAATAAGAACATTATTTAAAGTTGATAAACTAACATTACGAAGTATTTTTGCTTAGCTTTTATTCTTTCTTTTTCAATGATAAATAAATATTTCATTCGAATTTAGCTGCTTGGTTCTTAATTTTCTTAAGGAAAATAAAATACTCGAAAATCTCCAACTCAATTTTTGACATTAGTACTATTGTGCTTTATTGACTTCATACTTTTGATCAAAGTTAGGACATTCGTCCATATGAACTTCATATCAACAATAAGTGATAGTCATAAAGGTAGTTGTGTTAAATTCAACAAAAATAATTTGTCTTACCAGCTTTTGAAAGCTTTAAATTTATTTCTAGATTATTTTCATCTGTACAAAATTGACTATCAAAATAAATTTCAGCTGTTTCAGAATCAATTTGTTGAATATGCATATTCATATTATCTAACTTTGTTAATTTTAATTCAAATTGTTCAGTTTTAATATAACCAATAATCACATCAGATAATGATTGATTTGTTTCATTATTTCCTTGATTCATTGCTAATGAAAATTTTTTTGCTTGAACTTTATCAACTTGCAAATTAACTGGTGAACCAATAATATTTGTTGATAAACGATTTGCTTCAACATTTGTAATTGTTAAATTTGTTGTTCTATGAAAATTTGATGAATAAGAAGAAGATGGTACTGCTATATCGAAAACAATACTTTCATTTGTATTTAATGCAAAATTCCATGATGATGGTGGAATATCAAGTAAATTAAAATAAATAATTTTTTCAGTAGAAGAATTTGTTGTACTATTGAATAGTTTATTGAATAATTCATTTGATAACAGTGTATTTGATGAATTTATGTTTATAGATGGTTTAATTACAATCATTTGTTGTTGAAGAGACGTTGAGTTTGAACGGTCAATAGAAAATGGAGTAGAAGTTAAGAATTGATGATTGATGGTGGATGTCCGAACTAAAGAAGTACTTGTATTAACAGTTGATATTCGTGATTTCCAATGTGTTATTTTTCGTCTACGAGTTCGATATACATCTGTGGACTTTGTGGAAGTAGTTGTCGATATTGTTGATAATTTGCTAGTTCGTCTTCTTGTCGGTCGACGAGATCGTGTCGATGGATAAGTTACAACGAGAGTGGAATGTTCAGTTTCGGAATTATGGACATCAAGAAAAATAGTTGATGTTATTTCTGATGAAGATTGGAACGAAGTGTGTATTTCAGAATCTTCATTGGTAATTACAAGATTCTGTTCATCATTTGTAGTTTCTAATCGAAGACTTGAATACTCATTTGTTTGGACTGTCGTGGTTAAATCCAAATTAGTACTAGTAGTGACGATAGTTGAAAGGATTGTATAATCGGTCGTACTTGATTCTAAAGATATTGTAGATGTAAGTGACTCGTCGTAGAAAATGTTTGAAAATTTCGATATGAATTGTTCATTAGTTGCAGTGGATGATAAAGAGGAAGTAGTTGATGTATAACTTGAAGAAAATGATTCGTCAAAGAAAATAGAAATGGAATTTTTCTCAGTAATATCTGACGATGTAGATAGATCAGTCGTTTGTAGCAGATTAATAGATGATGATGGCAACATAGTGGGAGGCGCAGATATTGTTGTAGTTGTTGCTGAAAAGTATTTTGACGATGATAATCGATTGATTTTTGTTAATGTCGTGCTTGAATGTGAAAGTGAAGGGTGAAGTGGTGATGATAATTGAGAATCAATGGTGAGAATAGGGACTGTGCTGGATAGAAGAAATGGTGATGATGAGTGTAGGGTAGTGGATATATTAACGTCTATCAATATCGATGAAGCATTAGTTTGATTATTTTCATTTTCCATCTCTGTATGGATGAAATTAGTGACTGTCATGAATAGTGTTTCATTTTGTATATTTTTTATCGATTGATTTGTGATTACTTGAAATTCATCATTAAGATCATCGTGAAGATTGTAATTAAAACTCATAGTAGTGGTCGAATAAGATTGATTTTGAAGTAGAGTAGTGTCGAGAAGAATATTCGGAATCATTACATCACTAGTCTTTAGTGAAGAAGAATGGATCTGATTGTCATTAATCTCTAATACTGATGGATCAGATGGAGTTGCAAGTAATTCGAAATCAGAAGAAGAATGAGAAACATTAATGTTTGAAAAATATTTAGACATTGACAGGGTGGTATTCTCATGGATAACAGTTGAAGGAAGCTGTGTTGGTTCGATGTTATCAAAACTCGAAAAACTTTGATCTGATTGATGAACTAAGTTAAATTCCGTCACGAAAGATTCTTTTTTGGTAGTTAATGGCTCATGCGAAGATATTGTAGGTGATACATGCTTTGTATTAAAAGCATTTTCAACCAATCGATCTGTATGATCATAAATTTTATCGATAGATAAATCAGCATTCGAAGGTTTTTCATCTGATAAAAACATAGATCGTGTCATATCAAATGGATTTGTCATTGAAGTTGTTTCTAGTGATGTGCTAGTTGACATAGGCGAATGTAAATATTCAATATAATCTTCATTTGATATTGACGATGATGAAAAGGGTAATTTATCTTCATTCATTTCTAAATTTTCTTGTGTAATCTGCTTATCATGATCTTTGTCTTCATGGCTTGTTGATAGTTGTGTAATTGACGAGAACAAGGAATCGAATGTTGAAAGCTGAGAATATTCATCCAGTGTATTGGTAGATACATCTGTATTGCTAATAGAAGTAGTGTCATCATCAGAAAATGTTTCTATGTTATCATGAATCACGTTTGAGATTTTGACTGAATTAGTAGAAGTTAAGTTTTGAATGTTAGATTGCAAAATTTCTAAAGGATCTATCGTGCTATTCATGTATTTTGAAAATATATTGAGATTGGATGATGATTGTAAATCGTAATTAAGTAAAACAGTTGCTCTGAGATCATTTGAATAATTAATGTATTTTGCATCCGGCTTTGAATTTGATAACAACTTTTGTGTTAAATTAGTTCGAAGTACTATATCGTCGTCGAGTAATAGATTCTTTTTGTTTTGAACATCTAATATCAAATTAGTAGTAAACATTAATAATTCTGAAGAATTGATTGTAGTATTTACATATCTTGAGAAAGTATCAGAATTAGATAATGACGGTGTTGTAAAATCAACTTGATTCAATAGTAAGTTATTATCAAAGCGTAGATTATCATCAGACGAATTGTTTCGAAATTCATTTGATGAAATAGATGTCGAGTTTTCTTCTGAATGAATGTTTATATTCAAAGTCGTTTTATTGATTGATGAAGTTCGTTCTTCGAAATCACTAGATGTAGATATCTCAGATGTAGACGTGAAACGATGATATATGTGTGTAGTATCTGTTGTTATTGATGATAATAATTTCGATACTGACGAAAATTTCAGTTCACTAATGTTATCAGTCTTGATATCATTCAAATTAAACACTTCACTCCTATTGACAACTACAGATGATAAGGGAAGGTTAGTGAAAAATAGTGTAGTTATTTGTGAAACATAACATCAAAAGCAAGAGAAAACATATACAATTACATTTTTTTGCTTACCGGGACGTCGAGTATAGACAACTGGTTTCTCAGGATCTGAGAAAAAGAGAGCATTGAGCTATTTTCAAGAGAATACAGACATAATTAATTTACCTATAAAAGAAAGAAAATTAAACGTCCATGTAGTTGGAATTTTTCCAGAATTTTCTTTAACAGTAACATAAACGTATGTAGTTGAATTAAGTCTTTCAATTGTTATCGGTAAATCGGATGTTTTCGGCAATACACTACGTATTGTTGTATATTTTTCAACATACATTATTAATATCATTAATTTTGTTGCTATAAATCTAATATACAAAATATCGATAATTTACAAACCAAAATAAAGATAATAATCCAAGGTCTACTCTTTCATAAACGGCATGTTTTTTTTTGTTTCACACGGCAGTTTTTTTTACCAAAATTTTTGATAATTTCCATCCTTCTTCTATTTGAAAAACATGTTGTTTTTAGAAAAAGCCAAAACTATGCTTTTCGCTTTTTCTCTATTTATGCAGCCATCATGATTGAGTAGCTACGGCATTCAACATGTATCTACAAGGAACTCTCTGAAATCTTAGCATCACCAACGATGAAATGATCTGGGTAAATTGTTCATTAATGGCTATTTGTCTTGGTTCATCCCTCCACTAGCATGCTGACCAGCGTAAGTTATGACATACACCTGCCCTTCCATTTAATTAATGTGTAGAAAAAGCTTAAAGGATTGCATGCAAGAAGTCCGTATCAGACTGACCTTATTTCCAGTTCTACAGCTAATGTTATTTGTAGAAAAGATATTCAGTTAATAAACCTGCTCTTATGCAGCATCCCATGCCACAAGACAGAAATGTTCTTCCTTCTTGTTTATCCTTTTTTTGATCATTCAAACCAGAATTCTTTGTGAGCTTGCAATCTATATATTTATTTTTTGTTTGAAAGAATATGTCAAGATGCAGAGCATGACAAAGGGACATGATCTTTTAAACAATAAAAAAATTAAATGTATAGTATGAACGCTCACAGAGAAATTTGAATTCCCACACGAGCTACTTTTGACTCTTGTTTGTTGAATATCTTCCGAAGTTATCGTGGTGTAGGCCTGAAAGTTTCATACGATTTGAATATACTTGACTCAAGATTGTTTTTTCTTTTTGAGTGAAATGAAGAAGGTAAACTTGAACTTACAGATGATTACATTCGTCTGCTATTAAACCAAATGGAGCTTTGATTGCACTACTTTTAATTATTTTTCCATATCGTACACGAAAGTCTTGTGTTATACGCAATTCATGAATTGTATGTTCTTGTTTATTAGCATAATAAACTATACCCGATGGAGTTATAACTATGTTTCCTTCATTTAAAGTACCATTTAGAATAACTGGTTCATGAATCAATATACCAGTATATGTATTAAATATTGAATAAATAAGACCAATATCCGTTGATATAAACAATATTGACTTTTCTGTTTTAGCATGATTACGTTTTATAGTTAAACCATTTACATGCATATCATTTTTATTCGAATGTATTAATAATGTTTTAATACAATTTTTATCCTCAAAACTTAATTTAAATTTATTAAAAATCACTTCACAAACACGTAATGATAGAAGACCTGATTCTAAACGTGATTCATATATAAAAAATAGATCACGACGATCACTAACTGAGAATGATGTACTTGATGTAGCATAAATAACATCAGTGGTTGTTAAATTTACAATTAGGCGAATGGTTTGTGCATCATATACGTATAAGTGATGTTTTGGTTCAATAAATATTAATAAGTCATCATGAGGAGAATAAGCAAGAAAATTGTGAGTGTAAACATGGGAGACATAAGTAATATTAGATGATATTGCAGATGTTCTATATTTGCCAGACGAAAGTATCGATTGAATCTAAATGTATAGTTGTAAAAAGATATTACTAAATTAAATTATTTTAATAGTATATAATTCATTTCTATTGAATTCACAGAAAATCATCTATTTGAAGAGATTAGAAGTTCGGATTTCTCGACCTCAAAAACTTTTGGTTAAAATATATCAATAATTGTTATTTTCGAAAAATAAATCTGTACTTTCTCTCTTGATTTTTATTATCATCATTGAAATATATATATTTATATTTTAATTCTTCTTAATAGAGATTATTCAACACTAAATTTAATCTCATGGATAGTACTTATTCGAGTTCATTGAAACGACTTATAATTATAGATATGCAACAGGCTACTTTTATTCTGTAGAAAAAGAAAATCATTGGAAGATCATTATGACTTGAGTGTTATTCATACTAATGATATAAGATATGGTTCGAAAACAATAAAATTAAAGAAAAAGACCATCTTATTTTAATAGATAAAAATTTATTATTCTTTATATCACATTGAGAATTTACATAGGGAAATAAACCAGTGAAATATATTGAAAAGAAAACGATTATTTATTAATTCATCGAATTGACTGGAGAGAATAGGAAATGATCCGAATCAACATTCATGTGACTAACCTTTGAACACAACTGACGACTATGAACTGAAGTAGTTGAATTGATAGCATCTAAACTTTGAATTTATATGTATTCAAATGATGATGAAACAAAAAAAGAATCCTACCAACAATAAAAACAATTTGAGTCAATAAAAGTATTAAATACATGCTAGTCAAATAATTGAATTTAAACCAGTGAAAACCATCAACTAGCATTCTGAATGTGAAGTAAAGATCAATAATAAAAACTAATGATAGTTAGTGATATTATTGTATATGTATATACATGATGTTCGTAATCAATTTCTGAACGTTTTTATTGTATTAACAGCATCAGAGCCTTCTGTTTACTTCCATTGAAACACAACATGCATGATCTATTAGAAATCGATTGTCGTTATATGATCGAACGAGAAAATATTTATTGAGTAAATTTTTTCTCTTCTTCAATCTCCTGTCATTTCTTCCTGGCCGAGTCAAACATCGTAAAGTGATTACTTGACAAATTAAAGTAGGGTTCAGATAGGAAGTAAGAAACCTTCGTCGTCATTATTGTTGACGTCTTTTGGGGAACATTTATTCGAAGGTGTAGCAAGATGAATGATAAGAGAAAAGAAAAACGGAACTAATCTCGTTGCAAAAAAAACACCGAAAGAAAAGAAAACAATCTAACTTGAATAAGGTAAAAAAAGCTGCAATTGCATAGGAAGGAAATGGGAATATGATAAATATGCAACTGATCCAAAACTCGTTTTTTTCCTTATCATAACTTCTATTCTTCTTTTTATATTCCGTTTGCATTGTAATAATGTTCAATGCTACGTATCCTCGAATGAATAGAAGATATATTTCCTACATAATTAAAAACAAGACGAATGAGCAGGTACATTCTTATTACCATACTTATTGAGGAAAACGTATGGAATGTCACCAAGCTCTTTCCGAACAGTCTACATATAGTTTCTTTTTCTTGACTATTGACAAATATCTTGAATTGTTTAACACTAAAGAAAGTTACTTCATGTATTCGTTTATTCTTACTAGAAGAAAATTTGAGGAGAGAAAGAAATTCAAGCCGTGGTTGACCTTCGCATATAACCATTTCAAGTGAATCCTCCAACTAACGAGGTAAACTCTTCAGATGCTCGCTTCAGATTTCAATTTCTTTTTTGTCTATAGATCCTTCATAGTGTTCTAATAAAAATTTTAAAAGACTTTGCGTTCCTACTGAGATTGGATTAAGCTGTTCATTTTTTTGTAGCTGTATGTTTTCGAAAACTCCTACTTTCAAATTTTGATCCGAAACTTTGTGCATATACAAAAGTCAGTTAAACTAGCTCCTATAAAAAATTCACAAGTTTTAAACAAAGTCTATTCGAGATATAAAATTTTCGAGATATATGTAGATCCTTTTTTCATGGATAATGTATACAAACTATATTTTTTTCAAGCTTCATATCTCGAAAAGACTTGGTTCAAAAATTATAAATTTTTTATGAAAGTTAGTCTACTTGAACTCTCTATATGCGCAAAGGTTTAGATCAAAATTCGAAAAATATGAGTTTTCCGGAAAACTAGTATCTCTAGCAAATAGACATATTAACAACTTGTTAGCTTAGTCAAATCTTCATAGGAATTCTAATTTTTTAGAGTTTCTATTAAAATACTACGTAGTATCTACATACATGGAAAAGGGAATCATTAAAATCGGAGAAGGAAATATGCTGAGATTTCCTTGTGAAACACATACTATTTCATTTTTCTTATTATTTGTGACAAAGCTTATGCTTATGCATTGAACTCTAATGTTAGGCTTCTCCATAGATTTTATAGAGATACATTAATTAGCTTTAATAAAATAATTAAAACGATTTCTCCCAATTGTATATCTTTATAAATCATTTTGAAAATAACATTTTGCTGCTCTACTTAATTAGAAATTTAGTTTATCTTCGGTATAAATAAAATTAAAACATTTTATCTCTGAAAGTAAATTTGAATTAATTCAGTGGATTAAATTTCTCAAAGACAGGCAAGACGATTAGTGAATGTTATTAGCTTTCATTGCAAATAAATTCTAATTTGCAAAAAAGCTACTCATTTGTTATTGATCAATGATGAATGTACAAAACAACAAGAAATTCTCAAGCACTTGAACTTTGTATTAAATACTTTTTAACAATATTCTCAATTCGAATCAAGAGAATTTTCTAAAGAAAAAATGTCTTAACGAAGGAATCTAGCTAGTTAATAAAAAAGATTTCAAGTTCAAACTTTGTCGACAAGTAAGCATTGTATACATTAGCAAAAGCTGACGAAGACAGCAGTTCAAATTACGGCTTGGCTGAGATATCGACTTATTCATATAACTTTCCTATAGCGTTCCATTGTCCTGATCAAGTCAAAATTTCGAATTTCGACCTGAAACTTTACTAACATCGAGGTTTCAATTACACTACTCAAAGCGATCATTTCAACTATTAGAAGCGAATATAAAACGACGTATAATTGTCTGAAGTTTCACTGTAATGCATCATGTCGTTTTACGGGCTTACGAAATACAACGAAGGAAACATGTTGGTCTTCGCTGTTTTATATCGTTTTCAACCTTTTACATCATCGCTTTCTTTGGCCTGGATAATTTGCATAAAAAATTTCAGAATTTTCGGAAATGATTTGTGAGGTATTAGCATAAAGACGGGTCCTTCTGGGTATTGTATATTATGCACGAGTATTTTAGAAAACTCATATTGCATAGATTATTTATTCACAATTCTTAACACCTTGTAGGCGAGTTAGTCTGATTGAAGGCTTAATATAGGCAGAATTTCTCACTGAAATTTTGAGTTCATCAAGAAATTGAAGTACTACAGAAAAAAAAGTATAGTAAAAAGACGATGGCGCAACCAACTCGCCACTTGCACTCATATGTTCATAAACTTTTCTAATCTGTATTTCTTACTTGTTGACAAAATTTGAACTCAATAGCCATTTATCACTTGAGCATAGGTTCTTGTAAAATAGAATTATTGAATTAGTTGTTCTTGTCACATCGAAATGATTAATCAAACTCTTTAGAAATTAACGAGTAGAAATAAATATTTGTCACCTTCATACCATTATCAAGTAGAACGTTTCATTGCATTAATAAATAAAAATTTCTAAATCTAACCAAAGTACAATTGGTAATGTTTCTGTATATGAATTCTTTGGTGTTCAATAAGAATTAATCGTATTATCTGTTGATAAAAGAAATAATTCGGAGTTTTTTTGAAAACCTCTACTAAATTAGTATCGTTGAATGAAGAATAGTTTCTCTTGTGAATATTCTGCAGCTTTGATTGATCATATAGAATGGACTTGAAAGATCAATATTATCATGTACAGTAATGAACAAATCTTCCTCTTCTACCACTAGATCACAGCTTCAATACACCATACAAGTCTGAAAATTTATATGAAAATAAGTTGCCAACAATGTAAATCAGAATCATAATAATGTTCCGATTACTCAACTACAAACAGAATTATAACAAAGAGTAATGAATAGCTTCTGTTTTTCTTTTCAATTTCATAACTTTGCAAATAAAGAGATTTGAGAATCAACGTATTCTTTGTTACTTAGTACTATATGTTTCATCTATTGATATTACTGGTTTCATTGAAGTTCATCCATCTTCTTCTAACCTTTATAAACTTTCAATTAGTAATTGTTCAATGCACGAACCATAAACTTTTAGAGAAACTTCTTTGCAATTGAAGATTGTTGGCTACAAAATGCAGAAACAAACCTTCTATTAAACCGAATTGGCATATCGATGATCATTGTATGAATCATCTGAAGTCTGAAGCAGTAATTCTTGATCGAATAGGCTGATTTTTTTTTATTAAAGACAGATTATTTACTAAACTGTACTTTCATAAAATTATATCAAGAATTATTTATGTATTTAATGTAAATCAACGTAAAATTTATTAAGCAATCTTTTTAAATTAAAAATGTCAAAGAGAAATCAAATGACATTCACTAGAACTCTAATTGTATTTCAGCCACCACATCAAAGACATGTCTTAACTTACCTTCGCAGAAAAGTATGTGCGTACATATTTCTAGGCTTTCAGCACTAATAGTGTTCACTACTG